AAAATCGGTACAGACGAACACACAGACACACACACACACACACACACAGACAACCTCTCGTCAATACGCGTTTTTTGCATTGCATTACTGCAAAAAACGCATAAAAAACGATGAGAATGATAAATATAAAATTGTCGACCGATGGTGAAAATCCGCTTGCTGATAAACGATGAGTATAATTTTCATATGAATTGTGGGAAAACATTTTAAACACATTTAACATGAGAAAATTGGCCGACATAATTGGCTGGCCGCCGAGACCCGCCGGTCTTTAACCGGCCACAGTATTTCACAAATATTTTCTTTTTTCTTAATTTCGAATTTTCTTTTCCTCCGCGTTACTCCGCGACATGTATCCTAGTATGCTTTTTCGCAGTTGTAAGTACCATATTTCGACATTATTTTAGGTGCCATTTTCAATGAAACGATGTTTGCGCTGATACTTTTCTCGGGCTCAACAGTTGCATTTCATGATCAGCTGCTTACTGCACTTCAGTATGGCGCCATACCAGTGATCCTTTCTTTGCGGCCAGCTTTACCATTTCTGGGATTTATCGATTGGCGTCGTGTTGTGTACAGAGTGCCAGTGCAACGATTACCCGAGCTGCATTTCATCCTGCGTTCTTTCGCGCCTGCTGATATTCTAGAAATGAGACGCCAGGGGCGATTCGTACTGGAAAATTATCTCATCGATAAAAAAGGTTTTTTTTTTTTTTCCTTAGACTATTATCAGCGGGATGAGGTGGGCATTCTCAAGAAAAAGATGTGTTTGACAAGCTTATTACACGTAGCGTTTTGAAAACAGAAAGTATTAATTTCAAACAAATTACTGAGCAATTGCTTGCTCATTTTATCAAAAATTAAACCCCCTCTGTATTTACTGTGCGGAAAATAGAGGGTTGCTTTGAATTATCGAAACTGATGAAAGAAACGGAAGCTCCTCGCTTTCTCGGCAGTCGCTCTTTGTATTCTTGATAACGTCGAATAACACATATTTTTTCCGGTTGGCAATAGCACTCCCAATAGTACGTACTTTTTACTGTTACGGAGATTTTCTGGGCTCTGCTTAGAGTTTTTTAATTTTCTGCGTTTG